GGACTTAAGCAGCACATTTAGGAGCTTTGCTGAACCGGTCGATGGTTGAGTCACCGTTAAATCAGACTAAGTGTTCAGATTGACATTTATTGAAGGAACCAGAAGCTCTCGGACTCACAGATGTCTTCTTCTTCCCTCTTTGTCTCACATTCAGAGGATCTTCTTCCTTCTGTGTGCATCCTCATCCTTCTTTCACACTCCCACACTTCCTCTCTGATTCCCCCCCAAGAGTGGCTGCCTCTTCCTTTCTTCTCCTCTCCTGCCCTCCTTTGGAAGAAGACTGGAAGGTCTGCAGTGACTCCCACGCTCACAGGCTTCACCGTGCATCGGTTTGTTCGTCAACATGTCAGTTAACCGTTTGGATCTTCCTCGGTGCATCTGGGCGGTGTTATCAAAGCCTCAGCTGAGGCAGTCTCACTTCAACAATGAGGGTGTTACTAATGGATAATCAGGAGATCAGGAAGCTGCAGCCAAAGTCGTTCCCAAACAGTATCAATCATGCACGGAGTCGGCCTGCAGAATGCAGCTCTGGTCATGAATATCACAAACACATTGGCAGATGTATAACTTCCTGTTTCCCCGAGGCTCAGAACATCAAAACGCTTAAGAAATCACATCAAAACAAGTATCTCAGACGAATGCAAATATAAAGAGCATCAATATTAGATCATGCAAAAGTCAAACTACGTTTTTCAAAATAAGACGTCACCTGCCTCTTAGTTTAAAATTCCTTGTTTTTGCTTTACAACATTTATAATCAATAAGAAGAAGAAGAAGAAAGTTTCATTTCTAAAGCGTCTCTCAAGATGAAAATCACGAGGCGCTTCAAAAAACAAAACATGTAAAAATATAAAAAAGAATTTAGAAAATGTTTAAAAATAAATGTAAAATGAGCAAAAATAGGCAATTGTGATTAAAAAATGTTAAGAAAGAGAGAGAGTGAGTAGGAAAGAGGGAAATCAGTGGATCCTGAGGAAGGTGGAATAGGTGGGGAGAGCAGAATAAAGAGAGAGTGGTGAAGAAGGTTGTACAAAAGCCAGCTTGAACAAGTGAGTCTTCAGTTGCTTTTTGAAGAAGTTCACTGAGTCCACTGATCTCAGGCTCAGGGGGAGAGAGGTCCAGAGTCTGGGGGCCACAGCAGCAAATGATCAGTCACCTTTGACCTTTAGCCTGGTGCTGCACAACCAGTAGGCTTTGGTCACTGGACCTCAGGGACCTGCTGGGGGTGTAGGGACTAAGAAGATCACCAATGTAAGATGGTGCTTGTCCATGTAAGGCCCTATAGACCAGAACCAGGATCTTGAAATGAACCCTGAAGTTGACTGACAGCCAGTGAAGCTGGAGGAGAAGCGGGGTGATGTGGGTGTGTTTGGAGGACTTGGTCAGAAGCCGAGCACAGGCATTCTGAACCACCTGTAGACGGTTCAGGGAGGTTCTGCTCAGACACGTGAAAAGAGAGTTACAGTAGTCTAAGCGTGAGGAGATGAAGGTGTGGAGAACTGTCTCAAGTTCAGAGCGGGACAGAATGGGACTCAGCTTAGCAACGTTCCTGAGATGGAAGAAGGAAGAGCGAACAAGAGAACTGACATGAGAATCCAGGGTGAGAGCTGGGTCAAAGGTCACGCCAAGATTCCTGACGGAAGGTTTGGTGAGGGAAGCAAGCTGACCAAGAGAGTCTCTGACTTTGGGAACCAGCTTGTCTGGGGCACAGGTGAGGATCTCAGTCTTATCTTCATTCAGCTGTAGAAAGCTCCCACCATCCAGGTGTTGATAGTCTAAGCAGGTGTGTAACAGCTGCAGCTTAGATAGAATCAGCACAGAAACCTCTGACAGAAGCAGCAGCTTCATAGTTATTCTGGTTATTTTGGTTCAGCATCTACATGACTAGATGGGTTGGTCAACCTTTGCACAAATGTTTAATTTGGATGAAAATAAAGTATTATCGGAGTGACATTAGTCTAAAAGGTCCAAGTCAGAACCAGAACTTTACAGGTTCCACTCCTGAGCGTCCACTGATGGGATAAAGTTCTTTTACGTAAATAAACGTCACACGTTTGCTGTTTAGGCAGAACCAGAAAAGGTTGGGCGTCTTGTTGGAGCATTTTAGTGCGTTTCTGGTCAAAGTGGATTAACAGAAGAGGTAAGAACCGTGTGGGAGGATGTTAGATGCAGATCCTAACCAACAGCTAAAGTTGAACTCAATACAACAGAAATGTTGGTCCTGCTTGAGTGTTTGTGTCTGACACCGTCTGCGGCTCCGCGTCTGAGAGCCGACGGTGTTTCATCACCGACTGTCAGTAATAACCGTTATGCTGTGAGGTGTTTACCTGCTGAAGATCACCGCCGCAGCCCGAGCTGCGCTCAACACGCCTGATGTGTGATGAGAGGCCAGGATGCCTGAGGGGTTGGGGTGTTCTTGGAAGAGGAAGTTGTTTCTGAACTGTTGCCTGTTGATGCATGAAAGGATCTTTCTGAAAACCAAAAGGAGAAAAGTGGAACGAGCATGACGGGAGGACCTGTGTGCATCTGAAAATAACTGGTCTTCATGTCTGACGTTTGGGGTTTTGATCCACAGTAGAACCTCTTCCTGAGCGTTCTTCCTGATTCCGCCGAATGTTGAAGTTTATTGGGACGCTAACGATGGGAACAGCCAACTCCGGGTTCTCCTGCATGACGGGATGCTGCTGGACGGTAAATGAGACTTTTTCTGTCGCTACCACAGATTAAAAAGCTCTGTTTGGCTCAGGTTGGAATTGGAACTCTATTTCTAATCTGGGTTCCCTTCTGGGTGATGGTGGGAGGCCGGACAGGCTGGGAAATTGTCACAACGGTGAGAAAAACAATCCTCCTGAACGAGGGCGCTTTCCGGGCCTTGGCTGGGTCCTGGGGGGAGTGTGGAGTCATGCATGATCCATGATGTGTGTCCTGCGCCCATCAGCGAAGCTTGGTCGTTGACAGGACCTGGTGTCAAGGCTGCAACCCGGGATTTCACCGTCAGCGTAGTGATCTGATCTTCAGGGGAGGATCAAAACCCAGAGGAGAACCCATCACGGCCCTTATAGAGGAACCTTGAGAGAACATGCAGCTGTGTTGTGTTTGTGTGCAGAGCACAAAACTAGGTTTAGAGACAAGCTGAAAATCTACAAGTTTAACAAAACATCAGCGGCAGAAAGCCACAAAGTTCAGCTTTAGATGAATTTAATGTTTGATGTCCCAGAGTCTGGAAGAGCCTTCCCCGGCTTGCAGACGAGGTCAGCTGCAGCTTCTGACTCTGAGAACCAGAAACGTGGCTTTATGGGCTCGTTTTGCTTGCAGGCTTTTATTTTCATGGTTTTTATTTAGATTTAGATTTTAATCCGGTCACACGACCAAAGTTCACTGTGAAAATGGGCTGAGGGGAGTCGTGATCATAAAACAATGCAGCTGTCAAAAAGTCCAGATGTTACACAGATTTATACACACACCCTCAGTGTGTCCTTCTGTCCTCATGTTATCCTGTCCTCACGTTTCATGGACTTCTGGAATGTTAGAGAAGAAGACCCCCCCCCCCCCCCCCCCCCAGGCTCGGAGGAACCAGGAGCTCTCAGCAAACTGACAACTGTGCTTGATCCTTCATGGGTTAGGGTTGTGTTCACATTTCTTCTCTGCCCAAAATGCGGTCCACGGCGGGACGCCTCACATGATCTGTTCTCAAATGTGTCTTTAGTCTCAGTGATGCATCTCACGCCATCTGCAGCGAACCAGAGAGGAGAGAATGGTTCCTAAATGCTTCTTCACTGTCAGACGCTGTTATTTCTTCTGTTCTAGCGGCTAAATGTCGTTAAAATGAGATTTTTTTTCTTTGCAAACTAAATAATGTTTTATTTAAATGTGAAACTGAGTCAGTCTTTATTTTTATCACCCTTTAAATTTAGTTTAAAAAACAACTTGTGATTTATTTTATTCTCATTTTTGTTGAGGCTAAATCCTGTTTTATCGTTTTGAGCTTTTTGCTTTTTTGCTTTCTCAGCCCAACAGTGATGCACCAGGCAGGTGAACGCAGCATCGGCTGTTCAGGTGTTTGCAGCAGGTTTCCACCAGATAGTTGTTAAAACGCCTCTTAAATCTTTTTAAATATCCCCCTCTTCAAAAGTTCTGCTTCAAACCTGATATTCTTAAATTCACTTTGCATCTGAACCGGAGCCTCTGCCTCCCTCTCCGGTACACCAGCCGGTAAATCGGTGCAGATTATACACTGGCGCCCCCTAAATGACCCAGAGCTCAGTGCAGACGGGAGCAGCAGCAACAGCGACTCAGAGGCGGCTGCAGCAGCTGGAGCGCTCAGCGGGCCGTGCGGTGCGGTGCGGGTTCAAAACGTCCCTCAGGAGCAGGAGGGGAAATTTGGACTAGTTGTGTGTGGTCATAAAGAAGAGACAGAGCCCAAGCTTAGTTAGAGAAGTGAAACAATGTTTTCTGCATACAGTAATAACAACAATAATAATAATAATAATAATAATAATAATAATAATAATAATAATAGCAATAATAATAATAATAATAATAATAATAACAATAATAGTGATAATAATTTTAATAACAGTAATGAAAAATAATATTCATATGAAATTATATTAATAAAAGTAATATAATAATATTATTAATACTACTACTAATAATAACATTTATTATTATTATAATAAAGATGATGATAGCAATAATAATAATAATAATAATAATAATAATAATAATAATAATAATAATAATAGTAATAGTAAAAATATAAATAATGATAGCATTTGACTCAGACGAAGCTGATCTAGCTCCTGCTGTCTAAACGTGACTTAATAAACACCAACTCTGATTAGAATTACAATAATGGGGGGTGGGGGTGGGGGGGTGGGGGGGTATCCCGCCGCGCCTCCATAAATCACATCAAATGACGGCCGGCCACTGAAGAGTTAAAGGGAGGAGACGCAGAGTGACACGCCTCATTGGGTAGATTATGTGCCGCAAACAAAAAGTGTGCGTCTGAGCGCCAGAGAGCCAGAGCACCGGGCCCCATCTGCGCCTCAGTCTCAGTCCGCCTTCATCCGTTCCGTCCGCCCTGACACACACACGCACACGCACGCACACAAGCACGCACACAGAGGATCTGCAGCCCGGCGGCGGCACCGAGGGGAGGGGACATGTACTGATACTGAACGGACCGGGAGCGCAGCGGCACCACAGCAGCGCGTGCTCCTCTTGTCGGATTTCCTTTTTCCTCTCAGGGTTTTTATTCTTCAGCTCTGAGGCTCCGCTCCTGTTGTGGATTATTGCTGCGGCTCTGAGGTAGGTCTGACCCGAGAGCGTGTGCGTGGTTCCGACACTTTGGCACGGCTTGCTTTCTGTGCGCAAAAAGACGCAGATGTTTCTGCGCTGATTTAGGACACTTTTAGCAGATGGGCTAAAAGGCACCCCCACACCCGCAGAACAAGGAGGGGGGCTTTGTGGCGGCGCACACATCCCGCTTTTATGCGCTTTTTCCTCGCTGGGACCTGACGGCGCCCGGTACGGTTCTGTTCCTCTGCAGGAACCGGCCCGGTTGGTGCGGAGCAGGAGAACGCAGGACCTCCACTCAGCTGTGAAGGCTTTGTGAGAACGTTCCTGCTTCTGTTGACGCTCCAGAGTCATTAAATGTGCAGTCGTGAAGAAGTTGGCCCAGTCTGGTCAACGAATGAAAAGTAAAGCCGGTTATCCGGTTGCTGTTGAAACTGTTTCATGTTGTTTTCATTCCGAGACGAAAGAAAACAAAAAAGCTGCGTTTTTATTTTCTAAAATGTTCTTTTATTCTGCGCGACTTTTCCAGGCTGCTTTAAAACCTGCCAATGACGTCAGGAGAGTCAGATGATTATAGATTATAGATAGGGGGTCAGAAACGCTGTGATGTTCCTTATTTAGATAAAGAACCAAACCAGCCAGATAGTTTTCTCCATCCTGTCATGTTTGGGCCTTTCCGGCTGATGGTGGTGCTGCTTTAGTGCTCATCAGCAGCGCATCAGGTGCGGGTTTGTCTGTATTTAACACCAGAAAGAGAAGGAGAGGTGGGAGGACCGCGGTGCGGCGCGCGCTCTGAGCTCATGAAAGCAGAAAATAAATAATGAAGCGCTCGTGCTGCTTTAATTACAGCCTCAGAGGGAAAGTGGTGGATTATGGTAATGAGGCGACAGACGCCGCGCCTGTAGAGGAGAGAAAGGCTGGCTGACGGTCCAGCTGATGTGTCCGCACACGGACCGGAACAGCTCCGAACCCCGTCCTACTGCGCCGAGTGAACACGCTCCACACAGCCAAAGTTCTACCGAAAATTATTATTATTATTTATTTTTTAAATAATAATAATAATACTAGTAATAATAATAATAATGATACAAACTGAAGCCCAAAATTTACTGAGGCTGGAAACTTTGGAAAACAAATAGGGAATTATAAATAATATTATTTCACCTGAGCAAAAAATGACAAACATTTATTAAAACGCTAAAGTAGAAACATTTTCTTTTAAATGAAACATGTTTATAGCCTAATAATATATATAACATCTGGAATAGCTTCATTCATATTGGGGGGGGGGGGGGGGGGGGTAAAAAGGTGAAACAGAAAAAATGTAAATACCCCAAACGGCTGGACAGCTTCCCTAAATATCCAGCTCACGTAAAAAAAGTAATAATAACATAAAACATTTTAAAAATGTGATATATATGATAGTCTTTATTATTATTATAATTATTACTGTCATAATAATATTTATTATTATTATTATTATAGTAAATATTATTCAGTTTCAGGTGTTTTTTGTTGTTACTTCCGGTCACCTGATGTCTTCTCCGTGGCTTTCCCGCAGTGAGACATGGAGGAGTCCAGCTCTCAGAAGTTTGCCTGGGACGGGGACGCCAAAGCGGTGCAGCAGTGTCTCACGGACATCTTCACCAGCGTCTTCACCACGTGCGACATCCCGGAGAACGCCATCTTCGGCCCGTGCGTCCTGAGCCACACGTCGCTGTACGACAGCATCGCGTTTGTGGCGCTCAAGTCCACCGATAAACGGACGGCGCCCTACATCTTCAGGGTGAGTCACCCCTCATTACTGCTGCTGCTGATAATAATAATAATAATAATAATAATAATAATAATAATAATAATAATAATAACAATAATAACAATAATAACAATAATAACAATAATCTTATTCATTTTAATATTAACCATCATAATGAAATACAGTTCTAATAATTATAATGACAATAATAATAATAGAAGTAATAATAATAATAAATATTACTCATGAGAATATTAATTATAAATATATTCTCAATATTAATACAATTAATTACCATAATAACATACAGTAATAACAATGATTATAATAATAATATAAGTAATAATAATAATAATAATAAATATAAGTTATAAGAATATTAATTATAATTATAATCTTATTTTTAATATAATTAATAACCATAATAACAAAATACATTAATAATATAATAATAATCATTGTATTAATAATAATAATGATAATAATAAAAATAAATATTAGTAATACGATTATTTATATGAATAATAATTATAATAATAATCTTTATTTTAATATGATTAGTAACCATATTAACAAAATACAGTAATAATAATAATGATAAGGTTTAGAGTTCCCTCCGACAGTAAATCTGCAGCTTTTTGACCCAAATGACCTGAATCCTTTTACAGAAACCTTTAGTTGCGCTCATTTATTTGAATGCACGTCAGTATTTTACAAATACGAATACGTGGATTTAAGGTAACGTGCTGAGTCATGACTAGAACTGTCCTCCATGTCCAGGTGGACACCTCGGCTGCCAACAGCACCTCCGAGGGTCTGATGTGGCTCCGGTTGGTCCAGTCGGCCCGGGACAAAGAGGAGCAGAACCTGGAGGCCTACGTGAAGAACGGTCAGCTCTTTTATCGCTCACTGCGCCGCATTGAGAAGGACGAGGAGCTGCTGGTCTGGTATGGGAAGGACCTGATTGACCTGCTGCTGCTCAGCTCCAGCAGAGCGCCGCTGAAGAGCAAAGGTGAGACAGAAGACAATCACACGATCCCAGGACTGATATTTAGGCACCTTTCATGTTGTCCAACCTCTTGAGCTGTTTTGTAAAATTCCTCTCTCTCCTCCAGGTTCGTCCCACCATTCTTGTCCTGACTGTAGCCAGAGGTTCCAGTTCGAGTTCCCGTTCCTGGCCCATCTGCGGTTTCGTTGCACCAAAAGACTTCAGAGCATCACTGAGGTCGACAAGGAGCCGGGGAAAGAAAGCAGCTCGCAGCGGCCCAACAACACCCCATCCAGGACCAGCCCTAAGCACGGCCGCTCCGAAGGCTTCTGCAGTCCGCACGACACCAACAAACCCTCCACGGACTTCCACAACCTGGCCCGGGATCTGGAGAACAGCAGGAAAAGCCCGCCGAGCGACAAGGAGGCTGAGATCTGCAGCGAGAGTTCAGGGAAGAGAAAGTTCTCAGATGTGGAAGACCGAGAGTGTCGAGGCTCGGGCCTTCCACCGTCCAAGTCTAAGGATGAGCTTGCAACTTCAGCGCAGAACTACAGAGGAGTTTACGGCCTGGAGGAGAACCACAGGTCCTTCTCCCCGCCGGGCTCCACGGAGCCTGGGGAAGCCAAGCGCAGCGCCTTCACAGAGGTCAAGAAGTCATCCCAGAACCTCAAGCACCACAGTGGCAACAAAAACCTCCAGAGCTCCAACTCTGAAAACAAAGATGGAGGTCGCCTGAGCAGCAACCCTCCAGAGAAGCACCTGAACATCCGGCAGGTGCTTTCAGAGACACAGCCGCCCCAAACCTCGCCCATGGGCAGCGCTTTTACCTCCGTCGGTCAGCAGGGTAGTGGATCGGAGAGGAAGAGCGCCTTCAGCCAACCATCTCGCACCTTCTCACAGATCTCCCCACTGGTGATGCCCCCCAAGCTGCTGGACTGCCACCCAGCTGTGGGCGACACCATCTCCTCCAACAGACTCTATCAGGCTGACCACCTCGCTGCCAAGCTGCAGGGGGCTGAGCTTGGCGCCAACTGCCCAGTTCCCGGAGGCATCGGGAAGCAGAACCCTTTTGTGTACGCCACCGCCTTCTGGCCGAAGAACTCGGGACCCATCCAGCTCCAGATGCCCTCGGCCCTCACGCTGCTGCCCCCCTCCTTCACCTCCCTTTGCCTGCCGGCCCAGAACTGGTGTGCCAAGTGCAACGCCTCCTTCCGTATGACCTCAGACTTGGTTTACCACATGAGATCCCACCACAAAAAAGAGTACGCCATGGAGCCTCTGGTCAAGCGGCGACGCGAGGAGAAGCTCAAGTGTCCCATATGCAACGAGTCCTTCCGGGAGCGGCACCACCTGTCACGTCACATGACCTCCCATAACTGACTTCGGTGGAAGCAGGGACCCCCCCTAAACCTCTCCAGCACCCGTGCACTTGTCTCCACTTCGGATTTGAACTTTTTCTTTTGGTCTGTTTACGTTTCCTGTACAAACGTCACGCTTGAGTGTGAGCAAAAGCATTTTGACAAAAGCAAAATACAAAAAAACAAACTGAAAACTATTTATGAAGCACCTAAAGTTTGAGAATAAGTGAAGATTTGTGTAAATGTACAGTAAGTGGTATTTTATATGAATTCAGATATCCAGATGAGTGACAGACGTAGGCACGCATCGACACCGCCTGGTTTTTTTCTCATGTTTACGATGAATATGGACTCAAATTGGGGATTTTATGTCAGACTATATTTCAGAGTGCATGTAATATTAAAGAATATTGGTTTAAGATGCAGTCTATACGTTGAAATACAAAGTGTAATATTTTGTGTCAGTGGGGAATAGTTTCAGTGTTTCTTCCTTTTGCAAAGATTTACTACTTGATAGTTTATCTGATCATGTTGAATGCATTGACAATAAAATAGCTTTATTTTCAACTCTGGATTTTTTCCTTTCAAGTTATTTATTTTCACACAAAACTATTAAAAACACACCCCAGCTGATTAAACACTTCCTGTTTCTGAAACATTCGTTGGATTACATTTTTTAGAGTCGTCTCACACGAGAGACGTTTAGGGGATCTTTCTCAGGTGGCCATCTTTTATTTTAATGTTCCTCATATTTAAAAATGAAGGCATGGATTTATGTAAAAACACATCTATATTGCCAACATTATTACTAATATTAATACTACCACCACTAATTATAACAATAACAACAATAATCATTTATTTATTTAATAATTTTTCATGAGCAGACTGATTTGTTTGCAGATGCTAGCAGCTTCAGAGATAACATTCATAACTACATTTTGCTTTATTATTTATTTACTTTTTAATTAGTATTCATGGTAAACATCTAACTAGGATTAATATGACACTTTTTTGTGTTTAAACTTAGAGAATAATTAGAAATGCATTTTCACAAATACGTTTGAGAGTTTTCGCTGTGAAAAATTAAAAGCATGTGGGTTTGCAGCTAGGACCTTTTAATTAAATAAAAGCTACCGGAAATCCCAAATTTGATCAAAACATGAGATGCAAAAAAATTTATTCATTGATTAAATTAAAAGAGATGATAATATATTTTAATTTATCTAGTTTTGAAATATTTTTATTTGAAATGTTTCTATAAATTCAACATGAACTAAATATGATCACAGTTTATGGCATTTATTAGTTAATAATCTGTGATCCAATAATCTGCTTCTACATTATTTATTTTAAAAGATTTTAAATTTAATTCCTCAGTTAATCTTGTTGTTTGTTAAACAAAAACAAAATCTCGGTAATGACCATAAATGACGTGAAACCGAGTTCTGAACATCTCAGCAGAAAGGAAACAAAACTAGATAGAAAATGGACCACGAGCGCCCTCAAGTGGCCCATGTGTCAACTACATGCAAGGAAACCCAAAAATTCTGAGAAAATATGAATTTTTTTTGCTCTGAATTTTATTTACGCCTTAAATAATGTTTGTATTCAAGACGATTCACAATACATTCATCTGAGGCCTTGTGAATCTAACAATCCTAGAAATAATGTTTGTGTTTGTGTGGCTAATATTACTCAGGCACCTTTTACTCTGTAAGTAAATGAACATCAACGTTGAAGGAGAAAAGTTGGAGCCATTCTTTAATGGTTCAAACTGAAAATAATCATAACCTTTATCTTCAGCTCAGTTAATTCCAAAATATAATAAATAAAAAAGCTGAAACAAGCCAAACCAGATCTTACTTTCAGGACTACTTTATGGAAAGCGTCCTTCTGATGAACAAGGACAATCTTCTGGATCTCCAGGAATCGATTTCATTCTCTTTTCCAATCCCTTCTCGACATCTTATCTGTAACCCCTAGGGAGTACTCTGTATTAGGACCGGGTATGGGTCCTAACAAGGACCATCGGTCGTAAGAAGGTTAGTAAATGTCCCAAATCCGGTCTTCACAAGGGTACAAATACAAGCGCGCGCACACACACACACACACACACACACACACACACACACACACACACACACACACACACACACACACACACACACACACACACACACACACACACACACACACACACACACACACACACACTCTGCTGCTGCTCCTCGCTCTCTTCCTAAACTTCTAAATTTAAACATGTCGCCTCTTTTGCTCTTGAACTATTTCTGACCGACAATGCACTCTGCTTAAGTCTGCTGACGGGGACGCGTTTGCCCGCTGTGTCCTCTCTGAGATCCTCCCTGTGAACCCACTGGTCCAGAACTGGACGTCTCTGCTGGACTCAGAGTCCAGGTGAACTCTGAGATGTCGAACGTACATTTCAATTATTCGTAGGGATTTTTCTCTTTCCTACTGTGAAGATTTCTATGTTCCAGTAATTGCCCCAAAGTCTATTTTTGTGCCCTGGAATTGCACCCAAAGCACCAGGACCTTCGTGGTCCTTCAGCAGGTGACGAGACCACGGGTGGACCTGCATTCATGGGTGAATGTGCGGCCTCTAGGCTCATGGGTGCCAACCCCAGACAGCTTTAACAGAGCGCACAAAGCAACAGGAAGTCCCACCAGGGGTGTATGGCCTGTCCTTCAGCTAAGGTTGAATCACTGATGATGATGATGATGATGATGATGACCTCTCCGTCCACACACCATCACAACCTCGTGGTTTCTACACCAACAACCGTGTGTGTGAAGCCCAGCACTGAACCGTGTTCTGCTCACCAGCTTCAGTGAAGATGGTTTTGGCGCTCCGGCCCTTATAACAGCTAATTACTACCGAGTGTTTCCAGTTCAGGTGGAGATGTCCGAGTCTCGTTAACGACTAAAGCAGATTTCTGAGTCTTACAGCTCCAACATGCTGATAGTGATTTTTCTCTGCATGATTTCTAAAGAACAAAAGCAGCTGAACATAAGTCTGGAGAACTTCTGATAAACAACAATTTTTTTTAACCAAAGATGAAAGAAACCTCCTGAAACAGCTGAAAGTGTTTCATCCTGAGTGTCACTGATCCGAGGCGTGGAGGCCTCTTGTTTTACCGTTTACTGCCACCTACTGGACAAGTGTGGAGTCAACTCAACAAATGTTCCTGGATCAGGCCAACAAACAACTTTAACCAAACCATTTTTTTCTAGTAGAGACAAATTTAAAAAAATTATTTCAAACTACAAACATTAAATAATTTACCGACGCAACTAAATGTGAAGTGATGTTTTTACAGTGCAGGCCCGTCTCCAGAGAGGGACCATTCTAGAGAAAGTCTTCTGGTCCTCTGTCGGACATCTGAGCCCCACACTATGAACCTGGACAAGCATCTGATGATGAGACAAAATGACATGGGACAACACGAGAACACATGAGACGAAATGAGACAAGACGAGACGAGACGACACGGGACAAACACGAGACAATAAAGATAACATAAAACAACAGAAGACAGCATGAGACAATATGAGACAAGACGAGACAACATGGGAGAACCCAAAAGATAGACAAGAAAGAAAGTAAATGATCTTTTATATCTCAGGATAAAAATCACGAGGCACTTCGCAAAAACAAAAACTGATTTAGAAACTGAACAAGAAATAAGAAACATTGTAAAAAACTGGGGAAGCAAAAGATCAACTGATTGTGATGATCTGGACATGGTGACTGTAAAAGCTATAATTGAATCTGTTATTGAACCATTCACTTACATCTGTAATCTGTCACTATCTACAGGAGTCTTCCCTGATTTAATGAAAATGGCCAAGGTGGTTCCATTATTTAAGAGCGGTGATAAACAGTTTCACTAATTACAGGCCAGTGTCACTGCTTCCACAGTTTTCCAAAATATTAGAAAAGGTGTTTGCATTAAGGTTGGACAAATTCATTGATAAAAATTTAATTTTAAATCATGAACAGAGTATGGCTTTGGGACCAAACATTCAACAGCAATGGCAGTTATGGATTTAGTAGATAAAATTTAATCAGCAATTGACAATAAAAACTATTTCATTAGTGTTTTTATTGACTTAAAGAAGGCATTTGATGCCATTGATCATTCAAGGTTACTTCTTAAATTACACCAGTATGGAATAAGAGGGGTGGCGCAGAAAACAGTTTGTTCAAATAAATAATGCTAAATCTGAATTAAAAGACATTTATTATGGTGTGCAACAAGGGTCAGTCCTCGGACCTAAACTGTTCATATTGTTTATTAATGACCTGGTAAATGTATCAAATTTACTTGGCACAGTTTTATTTGCGGATGACACCACATTGTTTTATTCAGGGTTAAATATACTTGAAATAACTCAGGTGATAAACAATGAATTGATTAAAGTTAAAAAATGGTTTGATATAAATAGACTGTCACTGAATCTGAACAAAACAAACTATATACTGTTTAATAACAGAAGAAGCTGTGATGTATCTTTAATGATAGATGGAATGGAAATTCAAAGGGTAAAAGAAACAAAATTTCTCGGAGTCATGTTTGATGAGAGTCTCACGTGGAGATCACATGTAGGTTATATAAAGGGGAAAATCGCCATTGGTGTATTATATAGAGTCAATTTTCTACTAAATTTATCGGGGTTATTAACTTGTATCACTCACTGATTGAACCATATTTATTTTATTGTTTAGAAATTTGGGGAGCCACTTGCAAAACGTTTCCACAACTGTTGTTCATTTAGAAAAAAGAGCATTGAGAATCATTAATAACAGTAACTATAGAGATCACACTAATCAATTATTCATTAGATACAAACTACTGAAATTTCCTGACTTGGTAGAGTGGAAAATATTCCAAATAATGTACAGAGCCAATGTGAGTAATCTACCAACTAATATTCAGAAAATGTTTCATAAGAGAGTAAGTGGGTACATGTTAAAAGGAACTGATGTCTTTAAGAAACCTAGATTCAGAACCAAATTGAAGGAATGTAGCATTTCTGTAAATGGTGTAGGATTGTGGAATGCCATTAACAGGGAATTTAAAGAATCTACTTCACTTGCTATATTTAAAAAATATATAAAATCTAATGTATTTAGTAATTATGAAAAGGTGAATTATAATGTCAAAGATTAGACGTGAAAATATTAGAAAGTGACTGAGGTTACATTGTGTTTGTTTGACGGATGATTTTATTTCGTAAAAAGGGGCAGAAATTGTAAGATTTTTTCTTCTATCTGCTCCTTTTCATTCAAATGTTTTTTCTTTTTTATGTTAATGTATGTTGTATTTGTTTGTGTTTGTTTTATACATTTTGAATGAAATAAAAGGTAAAAAAAATAATAAAAAGAATTTAGTTATAGACCAGGTTGTTGTCTGTGGACTGACTATGAGGGAAGCAGGACTCGGAGTGCAACCCAGCTTGAGCTGCTGGTCCACCATAGAGAGGACATTCAGAGAAGAGAACAGGTACAGTATGCTACTGTATCGTTGCAATCATAGATACAGTACTA